AAAAATAAATCAGAGCTAAAAAAGTGCAAAAACGCAGGCAAATTTGTCTGCGTTCTACTACAATCTAAGGGATAGTTATCCCAGAGCATCTTTGAGAATTGGGCCTTATTGAGTAAATTTAAAACATCAATTGCTTTTGTGGTTTACTAATCACTTTATTAATAAAATTGGGAACATTGTTCTCTATCGAAAATGAGATCGAAAATTTACTAAACCAAGGTTAGAAATTTACAAAAATAAATGATTTCGAGAACACTTTATTAATATAACATAATTTTTTCCATACACATATTACAGTATACGACTAGGCAATATATTTTATTAGTGAATAAATTACAATGTCTATTCTAAAGTCTTTCTTTCTTTATATAATGCACATACTATATCTCTTCATTTTATCCAGTAGGTTGAAGTTAGAATGTATAAAAAATAAATGAATATGATGCACGAGATGTTTGATGCTTTATATTTGTTATTACAATTTGGCAATTGTACAGACTAACATTTTTTAATATGATAAACAACACCAGAGTGTAGGATCGATTTTACGATCATATAATTTTCTGAGCTAAAATTAGCTAGTAAGAAGTCACGATCAGGTGTAATGTAAAAAAAATCAAAACAAACGCTCTTTTTAAAGAAATCGAGAATATTTCAGAATTTAACCTAATTAACCACCTTCTGTGCTCTAAGTAAATTTCTTGCATGATTTTACTATTATAACAGCTTTGTAACTCTAAAATGACCTTCCATCAAACCAAAACCTTAACGTAAACAAAAATTCTAAGTTTTCCGACGTTATTACATGATCGAAAAATCGATCCTAAGCCCTGTCAATTTCGATATGATATGGCTTTACAAGATAAGAATAATACATGTAAAATATATATTATATTGGTATCTTCAGAGACACAATTTATAGTTCTATGATATTATGGAAGTGTTCTGAAATTCTTGCAACTTATACCTATTACATAATCACAATAACCATTCCATTGTATTTCTAACCTTTTTATTCACGTATATGAGATTTTTCATAGTGTTTCATGAAAGAGTAATCATCGGTAAAATGGTTGTTACATTTAGGGTAGTTAATTCGTAATTCTGATTTTTTTGATGTTCTTGATTTTTATAACAGATCAAAGTATATGAATTTACTGTATAAGTGATAAAAAATATGAAAGAACAATAATGACATACTTGTGAAATAATATCTTTGATCATCTTGACATTCAACGTAAACCCTGGTAATATATCACCTTCATCTATATCCCCCTAGGCGTGCTCATGACGAAAGACTTTTCCCTTTTCATTTCGCTTATATATCTATATTCTTTCATTTTTGGGTTTGATCAACAAACCAATTTGTACTGAGATACCTACTGCAAAGTGTTTAAATTTAAACTTTTCATCCAAATCATCAAATACTTTCTTCTTTTTATTAGTATTAAAATCTTTGATAGTATCCGAAACCTCAATAACAACCATTGGTATAAAGGGTTCACCTTTGAAGGTCCAGAGTTGTTGTTGAGTCAAATGACGATATACATTTTTTGAAGTGAAGGATATATCAGGGATACGAATCATTCTTCTACCTCCAATATAGAAATTAAAACCTCCTTAGGAGGAAGTGATGGCACCTCCCTGACCAGTTTGAACATTCCAATTACCAAGTTGCTTGACAATTTCTGAGATAACAGCTTCTATATTGATAGTTGCTTGTGGCATAGGTATTAGATTTCCGTTTTTGTCATGTTTGAAAAGATTAACAGGTTGTCTGTTAATTTTAAAGGTATGGTATTTTAACTGGTTGTTTATATATTCGAATTTCTCAAAGGTATAGCTACGGTTAAGGTCCAAATCATTAAAATCTATTTTTTGTTGAGCTTTCGACGACATATTCGCAGATAAAAAAAAAAAATAGGAAATAAGCAATTTATATAATTAGATAATCATAATCATATTATACAAGATCCTTACTATTTTGAAGTATTCCGAAATATAAGATACTACCCTTGATTCCAAAGTAGCTGATGCAGTTGATACAAGCGATCATAAGAAGAACACCAGTGATTAGAAGCAACTAAGATAATGTAAAAGGTGAGAAAAGCCATAGGGTATTCTAATAATGTAAGAAGTGAGAAGAGCATAGTTTATTCTAATAAAATACCACGATTCCCGCAATTCCAGTAGTAATTATTACGATTAAAGCAATACAGATAATACGAAAAAAAAAAAATATTTTATAATAACAAGTTAAAAATCGTTTAGACATTTTTTAATTTAAAGATTAGTAATCAAAATTTAGAACATTTCAACTCTTCCCGATGATCACTTGTACCAACCTAACACTGAAAGCAAGTTGAATATTCAAGCCTAGAAGTCGACAACAACTTGAAGTTTTCTTGATACGAACTGTTATTAACGAAGTCTTTAAACGTGATACACCGAGAAGCGGGCGTTTTGGACGGTTTGCAAAAGGGTCAAGCCTTGCTTCTTTGCTATTTCTGGGGTGGACTCCCTTTTGCGTTTGGCATCCAAACCGGAGGAGTCTCTGGGAACAGCAAGTAGAAAAGAAAACTAAAGTTAGTTTAAAGATGGAAGACTATGAAAAACTCTTGGAATAACACTCCTTGGTTGGAAAACTCGCAGAAACTCGATATTTTCTCACTGTCTTTTGGCTTCAAAATTTTCGACAAAAAGTTGGAAATTCGGCTTACCCCCTTCAAAAGATCGGTATTGTTTACCACTTCCATATTGGGAAACTAGATGATGATAAATCGGCATGTGTTACGAAATGAATGAAATGATAACAACAAGTCACGTGGAGTTTTTAAAGTCCTTATACTTTTGGATAAAGATATAGATTTAATAGGGAAAAGTCAAGCAAAGTGTTTTAAGATATACAACGTATCCCTTGTATATAATTTTTAGCCTCTAGCACGAGTTATAGTGCAGTTTGTTTTAGTTTTATGGTTTTAATTTTGTCA